AGGCAGCGGATGCGTCCGCACCTCCAAAGGTCCACAAAATCCACCCCAAGGTTTTATAAGAGCCTGCCAACTGTTTAACTGAACGTTTCTAGATGGGATATAGTGTATTAATTTTATTATTGGTCTCGCTATACTTGATACATCTTACCTTAATATGCGTTTTTTCGGTACACATGCATGTTTATGTAGACTTGAAAAACTGTCCGTCAGCAGATTTTGGCGTATTCAAGTACGCGTGAGCAGTAACACAAAAGGTCTGAAACGAGGCTGGAAACGGAGTGTGAGGCTCGCGCGTATTACTCTTACGCCACGCTTTACCGACTTCTTTACTGATTTTGAGAAAAAAACCGACTGTTTTGCAGTCTACCATATCGGATATTTTTGACACTGCGTGATCAGATCAGATCAGATCCAGGCAGAATTTTTTCTAGGGTAATAGCCTGGGATCAGGCTCTATGGTGGGGAACAGGAGAATTTTGAAATAAAAGGAGCGAATAAAAAAAGGAGAGTTAAGCTACTGAGAAGGAGGTCGGTGGGGCGAAGCCTGAAGATATGCTTTTTATGCCACCGATCCACCCTTAACTACACTAATTTGCAAATGGCCTTTAACGAGGAATGGAATAGAAAACGCTCATCATTTTGTACGGGGATACTTGCAATACAGTAATACGGCAATACAGTAATATTCTAGAAATAGTTTGGGCGTTCTCAGTTTTCTGATCACGTCCAAAACATAGCCTCCCACCGGGCCTCCCACGCAGCGGCGGAAATGCATTTACAACTTGAGTAGATTTCAACTGCATTCGATTCGTTATCCAATACTCGTTATCGCGCTTGATTTCTGCTGTATTTACATTGAGCTCGTGTTTATAAAGGACAGACCGGTGTCGAGTTTTTGGGTGCTTCGTTTTCGAGTTTTGGGTGCTTCGTTTTCGATCTAGGGTGCTTCGTTTTCGAGTTTTGGGTGCTTCGTTTTCGAGATTTAGGGTGCTTCGTTTTCGAGATTGAGGGTGCTTCGTTTTCGATCTAGGGTGCTTCGTTTTCGAGATTTGGGTGCTTCGTTTTCGAGTTTTGGGTGCTTCGTGCTTCGGTCTTCGTTTTCGAGTGCTTCGTTTTCGAAACTACCCGCTACTTTGTTACAAACGAAACAGTCCGTATAAAGCGGGTGTCCGTAGAGCGGGGTTCCACTGTATTACTACGGAAGACGCAGCAAAAACATAATGACCCTAATCTTTTGGAAACAAGGCATTTATTCGCAGAACAGTTAAGGGTCTGCATCATTGTAAAAAAAAAAAAAACACATAACTACGAACAACAAAATCAGTCCCATCATTAAACAAGTCGGCATTTCTGAAAGAGGATAAAAATGTAACTTTCTACGTTTGGAATGAATGCACGCGAAGGGTTTAAGATTAAAGTTTTAGATAATTCAAGATTAAATTTTTTCATTTAAAATGGTGTTTTCCCTCATAACTTTTTATTGAAGTGCAGTCAGGACGGATGTGTTAGAAATGTTTAATATGAATTAGAAAAATGTTATTGCTCGATTTCTTTTCTTAAACGGGCCACCAATTGGTCAATAATTTCCGATATTTAGCAAAATTAACACAATTAACACAATATTTATACTTGAAAATGTTAAGGACGATCAGTTCTTTATGTGTGCCAATATAAAGAAATTATTAAAAAAAAAATTATATTGCCAGACATATATGGGACATTCAAAAACTGCACTTGATGAAAGGCAGAGCGTGAATAAAGGAGAATTTCGATTCCCGATTCTGAATTTTTCTGGTTCTTTTTCAACCGCTGAGGTAGCCTGCGTAGCAAGCGTTTCCTCGCGAGGTTCGTCTAGAAAGCTGGGACAAGAGCAAAAAAAAAAAAAAATGAACGACGGAGGAGCGGGAGGGGAACGAAGGAACCGCTTGCCCGCAAACCCCAAGCCTCCCACGCAGGCAGTTTTAGGGGAGCTCGTATTTCGTCCCTCCCCACAAACGCCTGCTCAACCGAGGACAACATTCCTTTCCCTCGCTTAGCCAATCACGTTGTACTTTCCAAATTCTGGAAAGTTGACCTTGACCGCAGGGTAACGCGATAATTACGCGATCTGCATGAAACTTTGAGAAAGCTTCTTGACCTCTAATAAAAGTTCGACTCAGAGCGGCAAACGTAAGATTTACTCAGTCAGATTTTAGAATTCTCCGTGCACTGCATAGCCTTAGCGAAGGAAAGAAAAGAAGGAAAAAGGTAACTTTAGGGCCCGGCTTTAGGGTCACGTTTTTACACTATCACGAGCTTATCAGTCGTGTTTAGCCTGTCAACACTTTATTTTAAAACTGTTGATTGGTCAATACCGGGCGAATTTAACAATGCGAAAGGAATGTTGTCCTCTGTTGAGCAGGTGTTTGTGGGGAGGGGAGAAATACGAGCTCCCCTAAAAACGTCTGCGTGGGAGGCTAGCAAACCCCACGATTTTGAAAAACTGCGTTCGCCCACGAACGCAGCTTCTGATTGGCGCGGTGCGGGTAGTGTTGATTACCTGGCATTCGAAACATCAATCAAACCAGGTATGCTTTGTTTTTGTGCGTCACAGATCTGGTCTCATCCGATTTGTGGTCGCAGATTACAAGTGCTTTGGACTGATATTTATTGGAATCGTGTTTGTGCGAAGGTTTATAAGATCAGAATCTTCAAAGTATAATTGGAGATCGAGCAGTGGAGACTAGGGCAGGCCAATTTATTGAGAATGACGGCGTGCGGATCTGACTGGAAAAAATGGACTGTTTGTTGGAGATAACATCGACACTCGACACTAGCTAAAGCCGCCATGGACAAGCGATTTGTCAGCTTTTTGAAATGAAAAGATTCTTTTTGCATTGGAAATTTAGCGGCATCTATTGTAGAGAACGTTTCGACACAGGCTGAAGAGCAGCCGCTCTGCAAAACTTATACCCGGCGGAGTGAATTGTTCCGGACAAATCATTTTTGACGTGTCGACAAAGTTTCAGACGAGATAAAGCCACACAATAAAAAGCAAGAAATTCCGCAGCAATCGCTCATAGNGCATCTATTGTAGAGAACGTTTCGACACAGGCTGAAGAGCAGCCGCTCTGCAAAACTTATACCCGGCGGAGTGAATTGTTCCGGACAAATCATTTTTGACGTGTCGACAAAGTTTCAGACGAGATAAAGCCACACAATAAAAAGCAAGAAATTCCGCAGCAATCGCTCATAGTTTTAACTTTCTTTTATCGTAAATCTTTTTTATTACAGTTCTTGCAATCGCCCGCAACGTGTTCTATTAGAGAACAAAGTAATTTTACAAATCTGATAATTCAGGGGTAATCTATTCGTTACGCTTCTATTTTGACGAGCTGTCAATTTACAAATGAACCGAACCGTGAAATATCAAGGGGCGTTTTCCAGAATCGTGGGGTTTGCGGGCAAGCGTTCCTCTTCTCCCCTCCCCCTCCCCCTCCCCCTTCACCCTTTTTTTTTTTGCTTCCGCTCTAACTTTCGCGCAATAACTCGATTGGAAACGCTTGCTACGCAGGCTACCGCTGAGGTTGTACATTCTGCTGCGAGGATTGTTCACTTTCGTATCTTTATCCGCAGTTCAAAATATACAACTTTTACGGATTCATTTCATATATTTTAATTCAAACACAACACGCTACAAATAGAGCACACACTTAAAACCGTTAAAGGAAAAGCTGAGGCTTTCGACATGGCGCCACGCTTTTGAGGAAATTAACGAGACTCAATTGATTTACCTGTTCCTGTCTTAAGAACTTCGTGCATATGAATTTCTTGTTTTAGCTTAAAGTAATTCCCTTAAAAATGATGTACTACCCAGATTTTTTTCAAACTTGCCACAAATATGACACGCAGGGACGAATTGACGCTCTACCGAACTAGCTAACGTAACCAAACTGCAGAGTTCTAAGCTCTTAAAAGAGCTTTCTGGGATGTTTGCTTAGTTAACTCTCCGACCGCCGTCAATTTGTTCGGAAAGATGCCAGGAAGTCCAGTCTTGCGTTGGTGGACTTTAGTGTCCTTCAGGGCTCTCTTCTGAGTTCCCTCATCTCCTGCTTATATGTGTCGGGAGACCTGCAACAAGCAATACTATACCGAGGAACCTGAAAAGCAATCCAAATTGGACGGCGCCATTTTGTTGTTGATCTGCCAATGCCAAACTACCAAGGAAATCTCCTCCATCGAGCTATATCTCACAACGTCTCTTCTTCTTTTCCTATTTCTTTGACACAGTAAAATATTGAAAAAAGATGCAACATAGATATATTTATACACATATCTTTATTGGCTTTGGAGCGAACAACAAAATATACAAGCAGAAGCCGTGGACCTTTGCGGTCTTACCCAGACTTAAGAATACTGAAATTTATCACCATATCCCTCTCTCCTGGTCTCTTTGCGATAAGCAAAATGGAAAAATAATTGGAATGCCCATTTGATATCTGACAATATATATATATCAAAAAGCCCTTTGGATAGATCAGAAGAGAATACTTTAAAAGTCTTTAACAAAACGTCAAGTCAAAACACATTTTTATTTCCTTTTGGCTGCACTGAATTAACTATATTTGTGTTCTCTTTAAGGGTTATAAGACATATAATGTCTGTGACGCTACAAATAAAATCACACATAGTAGTACGCTTGTTACAAAAAGAAGAAAAGAAAATTATTTTAAAAAGCTTTTCACAAGTTTGAACCTGTCGTTTAGGGAGAAAAAGCTCTACATTGCAGCGCTTCACTCATCGTTTTCTTAACTGAACTTAGAGGTTATCCTAGCCACTAATCTAATAGCACAGTAAGAATTTTCTGCAGATTTGCCAGTTTGTTTGATTTATAACAACAACCATGCAGCTACAAACTTGAACTTAGAAATGATCCTATGGCATCTAAACTATTACCAGGCTTTTACACGGTTTTTCTACAAAAACGAAAGCTGTAATTACAAAATGGCAGCTCCTAACATCGGGAAATCGAATCGCTACTTCTGCTCATGCTCCTTTGAACATCAGAACGGCCAGAGCGCATGCCAACAGCATGATGCCGCTGATCTTGGCTGCCGAACCAGCGTTGCAAAGATCTCCTTCGCAACAGTTGACGTTGCATTCAACCCCTGACACACTTTCTACTAAATTGCATGTTGGGTTCTTGTCCTTGTCGCAGTAATCTTTAGTTCCACAAGTCCTGGTAAAGGATTTTGTTTCGCCATTTTTGAATTCAACCTTTACGCAGCGTTCCTCCATACCTGAAGGACAAGTCATTTCCGTGTTTGAACACTTATCCCAAGACTCTGCGCTGCTGCATACATTGCATTTGAGACTCATCACTGTGGGAAAGATGATATCACAAACGTTAACTACAACTTTAACAAATTTTATGTCTTTAACTGGAAATAATTCAGGCAAAGTTTTCTGGAGCAAGCACAGACTTGGCGATTATTTCTTGGGCTGTGTTATCAAGACAAGACAGATAAAAATACCTGAAATACAATGTAATGAATTCAACTGCAACGACGTCATTGTGACTCGCATTTTTCGAACTTTGTTGGTTATTTATGTTATAATTTTTTATTATGGGCATCACCATATCCATGCATATCCATGCATATTTTTTAGAGCAAGGCACTTAGATGAGTTTTCTCGGCTAAGTGGCGATCGGGATTTCATATGCTGGTTCATTTTAACAATTTTCATCAGTTTATGCAGTGAATTGCTTATGATCCGTTTTACTTGCATATTCTCTGTCTGCATCTAGAAACCGCCTGCCAGCGATTTGTCTAAACGACATGTTTATGTGACCCACAGTTATAGCAGGGGAGATTGGTTATCGAAGGAGATGTCAAACATCAAAGATAAAAGCAACAGTGCTGCAGTTTATACCGGGAGCTCCCCGATGCTGCATAATCCCTTGTTTTCCGTTCACAAATAGCAACAAATCATGAGGAGGAATTTAATGCGACGGTTTTATTGGTCGTTACAATCAACATGATAGGAATGCTATTGAACGCTGGGCACCTTCCTGAAGGCCACAAAAACATGCAACATTAAGAAATCATTCTTCTCTATTAACTATGTTTGCCGGCCTCGGCCCAAGGGCTGGTTTTGAGACGTTATCTCCTTAACGTGTTACCAACTCAGCTAATTAAAAAATTCCGTTTTTCTGTCAGTATTAACCCGCGCACCGACAGAGCCTACACCACAATGATTTCCTTAGTTAAAAACTATCCCATTTATCTAGTATGTTCTACAACTTAACTGAAGCTTAGATTTTTTCCTTGAACCCTGAAATTTGCAAGTTTAAATCTACTCAGTGGCTCTTTTACTGCCTTTTCTGGCTGTAACTTTAATATTGCATTGACGTTCAAACAGAGTAAAAGTCCAGCAAGCTGAGTCATTTTCTTTCTTTTCTACAGTTGTCGCTTTGTTGTGTTTGCGCTAAATGATAGTATTAATGATCAACCTCATCCTCTCTTGTAAAACAGCTGGAAAATGAAAAATTCAATCTCGTATTTCCCTCAATTTGTTGGGTTCATGATGGAAATTTAACTCGTTTTGTTAATTGTACCCTATTCAAGAGTCTTGTGGCAGTCAAGAAAGTAAAAATTGTCTCCAGGAAACTTTGTCTATATGATAGTCACCATTTAGGTGAACTGCAAAAATCTCGATGAAATGTGAAAAACGAATACACTTTATTAGCGTCGTTTTCGCTGCCGGTTGCTGTTGTGGTTGCTCTACGTTTCAATCTTTATACTAGTAAGCACTTTTACAAAGGCTGTTAGAACTCGATGTTTACTTCAATTTTTATGGACGAAAGAAAACGATTCATACTCTTAAAATGTTAAAATACTTTAATTAAGCAATCTTCACGAACCAGATGAGACTATGATAGTAACGAAAAGACAGGCAAAAGGCTCCTATTGGTGCAGTCATTTTATAACAGCCTGCAGACTTCCAAAGGAAGACGCTCGCTTAATAGAGTTTGACCGCAAGATTGAATTCAAAGAGAACAAAACGCGGCGCAGCCCCAAACCTCAATTTGCATACAGTACAAAATTGGTTCTCATTAGCCAGTGAGAACGCTGTTTTGGCTTTCAAAAAGTTTCTATTCCTTCTCAAACACAATGATGGCAGCGTGGTACATAGTAAACAGTTATACAATCCATTCTGCAATTTGTTACAGTCGTTTTCCCGTTTCTTATGTAGCATTGGCCAACTCGAGCATCCCTATGTTACTTTGGTGACTGCGAAATGAAAATTGACTTTTTCGTTATTTTTTTTATGTATAACTTTTCTTTTTTCTTTTTTTGTTCATTAATGTAAAACGATAAACATTCCGTAGAAGTCTAATATGAAATAAATTACAAGAACGCGTACAAGCTCGGCGATTGGCCGACATTAACGTTTTACGCTTTGAGCTCATTGTTTAACATAAAAGCATGCTCACTCTAGACGCACTCTCCTCATTTTCGTCGCTCGGGCTTAAAAGCCAGAACACATCTCTTGGCTCTACTGCAAAAATTACTCAAGGCGATGANTTGCTCTACGTTTCAATCTTTATACTAGTAAGCACTTTTACAAAGGCTGTTAGAACTCGATGTTTACTTCAATTTTTATGGACGAAAGAAAACGATTCATACTCTTAAAATGTTAAAATACTTTAATTAAGCAATCTTCACGAACCAGATGAGACTATGATAGTAACGAAAAGACAGGCAAAAGGCTCCTATTGGTGCAGTCATTTTATAACAGCCTGCAGACTTCCAAAGGAAGACGCTCGCTTAATAGAGTTTGACCGCAAGATTGAATTCAAAGAGAACAAAACGCGGCGCAGCCCCAAACCTCAATTTGCATACAGTACAAAATTGGTTCTCATTAGCCAGTGAGAACGCTGTTTTGGCTTTCAAAAAGTTTCTATTCCTTCTCAAACACAATGATGGCAGCGTGGTACATAGTAAACAGTTATACAATCCATTCTGCAATTTGTTACAGTCGTTTTCCCGTTTCTTATGTAGCATTGGCCAACTCGAGCATCCCTATGTTACTTTGGTGACTGCGAAATGAAAATTGACTTTTTCGTTATTTTTTTTATGTATAACTTTTCTTTTTTCTTTTTTTGTTCATTAATGTAAAACGATAAACATTCCGTAGAAGTCTAATATGAAATAAATTACAAGAACGCGTACAAGCTCGGCGATTGGCCGACATTAACGTTTTACGCTTTGAGCTCATTGTTTAACATAAAAGCATGCTCACTCTAGACGCACTCTCCTCATTTTCGTCGCTCGGGCTTAAAAGCCAGAACACATCTCTTGGCTCTACTGCAAAAATTACTCAAGGCGATGATCGCCATCATCACATATGTGTGTGCGAATCGTCGAAATCAGTGGGCAGGGAAGTATTTTAGCGAGGTAAAAAACAGCGATCAGTCAAGACACCGACAGTCATGTCTGGAAACCCCAATAACCTATTATAGCTATGAAAGCTACATCGATACATCAATATAAACGTGCTTCCTTTGGTTTCACTTACCAGATGAAAAGGTAGCCGAGAAGAAAACTGTAAACAACACTTTAACTGGATTCATTTTTCAAGTGTTGCAAGATGGAGTTGAAGTAAAGATGTGCTAGCTAATTATTGACATGCAGACCGGTAACACCCTAAATACTCCCTGTATGACGGACTGACGATTTAAATAAAATATAAGCAAGTAGCCAATGAGAACGACAATGGTTGTCAGCCACCTGGAGGCACCATAGGAGAACAATATCTTATACCCTGCATATACCTCCACTTCATACTCCTTTGAGGAACACAGTGAGGGTCTTGCGGTACTGGTGAGCATCTCTGACGAGCTGGTCTTAATAATAAAGAGTTTTGACCATTTATGGTAAAGCAAAATCTGGGCACCTCTTTTTTAGTTATTTATAATTCAAAAATTACTTACGTCGACTCGTCTGGTTGGTTTTAAGGCTTAAACTAGAATCTCATATAAAGTTATTCCTATCCAGTCAAAAGAGGATGATGCGACCAAGAGATTTCCGAGGTGGTGCACTCGTTTAATTTGCTGGAAGGCCTCGTAAGACTGAGTCAAACGGCGGAAAGAATATAATTATTTTGTAACAAAATTTGGGTTGCCGATATATTTGGCGGTAGTATGCATACCACAAAGACGCCATCTTAAAAAGAATTTGTTTCAACTTGAAGAGAAAAGTAAATAAATACGTTAAACAATTTGTTCAAGCCATTGCAAAGGGGATTAGAAAGTTTTAAAGTCTCTTTTGTGACTTTCAAAAATCTGTCCATTGTCCTCAATAAAAGTAATCTTTTCTTTGCTAAACAATCCGCAATTGATTATTTTATTGATGGAAATTCCTTTAGGCTTAGCACATGATTTAAACCGCTTTTGGTCCCATGCCAAGATAAAAGCGTCACGTCCTATTAGATTGCATTGAAGTTACACCTGCCTTCTTTAATATGTAAAGCCTCCAGGAAGGATTAAATGTCCAAAGATAAGAACTATATATATAGAATACTTCAAGGAAAGTACGGGCGTACGTTATTTACGCACGAGTTGTTGACCTACCAGAAATCGAACGAGTGAGATCTCTGATAAAAATAAATAAATAAATAAATAGAACGAGGCGTATACGCCGTACAAAGCACTTTCCATGTGGTATTGCTTTTATTATATACATACTGAGACATTCATCATTTAGGCAGCCTTTTCATTTCAAATCTTTCCAAAATGCTAAAATTTGACGCAACATGCCGCGAAATGACAAACAGAAAGAAACATCAGCTTATTAGTGAACGCGTTTGTTAATAATATTAATGAGGGTAAGAATATGATGTAATCCAAGGAATTTTTACCTTATGTTCTAAATGCATGTCAGTTGAAAATGAATGAATTTCAGCAAAGTGGCCGATTTGAGTATTAAGTAAATAGAAGACAAAGTAGTTCCGATAAAAAGCACGACTTAAGCTTACGTCTCTCTTAATCTAACCTTAGCTTCAAATAATATCTAATTAATATCAGTGATTGGCTTATTGGTAACAAGCTGACTCTGAATACATCCAAGAAGGAATTTACGTTGATAGACTCCAGGGAAGGCCTTTCGAGACTGCCTCATCGTGCTTCTATTACAACTGGATTGCCAACGACAGGTTCAAAAAACTGTTATGGTCCATAAATCACTTAACGGTCTTGCCCCAGATTATATCTGTTCCAAATTTGTAGACCGTAGCAACGTATCAGCCTATTCATGAAGAGGCACAGAGGGCAAACTTTCCATTCGGCGTCCTCGTAATGAATTCCGAAAGAGGAGCTTCAGCCATGCTGGGGCGGTGCTCTGGAATAGTCTTCCCTCGCCGGTTCTTTATCTGTATACAGGTCGGTTAGACATCACACATCAGAGATCGGACATTGTCGACTAACCGGTTAGAAGACACAAATTTTCTTCACGATAGCTACACATTTTTTCAATGCAGTGACCATCGACAGTGAGTTGTCGGACATCAGACATCAGAAAACAGATAAAAGACAATTTCAAACATTGATACAACAACAACGGATTACTTAGCGTCTAACATTTAGGATCGAACTTTGGAAATGTTGGTTTTTGAGAAGGGAAAACCCGAAAACCGGTCAATAAAAACTCTTGGAGCGAGGACAAGAACCGACAATAAACTTAACCACATGTGGCGTATTCTTGGGGATTCAAACCCGTGCCTTAAAGAAGGGAGGTGAGCGTTCTCGCTATTGCTCTACCCTTGGTTTCCAAACTGGAAACGTCTGCAGCTTAAAGGCAATCGTTGGCTGTCACCTCCTGGAATAGGGCTGATGTATGCATAAATGGAATAATAAACCTGGTTACTCTGGTTTTAACTCATTATAAGAACTTCAGGACAACGGGTTCATGCTGTGGCAACACTCGCAAGTTTATTCGTGGCATTCATTTTTTATCTATGCATCGTTTTATTTTGTTGACAAGTTAAACCAGTTCCATTAATTAAAACTGATAAAATGATAAACACACTAAAAATAATAATAATAAAGATTTTTAAAAACCATTGATCGTTAAGTTCGAGCCAAGCGGGTGAAAAAGTGGCGTATTATATAGTATTACGCATTACCTTTTCAATTATTTCATCCCCCGTTTTACATAATTCTAGCTGATGAAAATAATTAGTTAATTAACTTCATATAAGAGGCGCCGTGTTGCTTTAATGCATATGCCACGCTTCTCACGTCTCTGAATTTAATTGCATTCTAATTTCTACAATATTTGTAGATCAGCGACACATTTATTTTATGGGTTCTGTAAATAGTTGCTTTCTCGACCGAGGGAGGATTTTATCAGCTGCTTTTTAACATCATTCATTGGTTAGTGAATTGCTTGATGGGTCTCGACAGTCAGAGAGCCTGTCTTTATCTTAACACACTCGACGATTTATTTCCCTGACTTAGTTGCTTACTTACTTATTTGCTATTTAGTTATTGGTACGTAAACGAAGACTTATTCTTCTTGTACATCTGTCAAGCTTGTCCTTTATATTCCTTTATCAAGTTGCGTTAATTGAGTTTAGTGAACGTATTTCAAAGTGAAAATTAAAGCAACTAACACAGGGTGCAATATTGGCTTTCTATTGTAGCCCTCTCTTGTTTTAATGAGCCATTGTGTTTGCGCTAAGTAACGATAAAAAACTTCGACTTATTTAAAGCTTTTCACTACTCTCTCATATGAGCTTGGTTGCCAGGCAGCGATCATTAATTGAAATTGATGAAGTCTTTTACAATAGGATTCAGTGACTTCGTTATGTACATGTCTGCATCGCTTTTATCTGTTTTCTTGAGCAGTTTCAGTGAAAAAGCAAACAAAACAAAACAAAACAATTTATACACACTTTGAACCCTTACCAAAAACAAAAATTTTCTGCTGGGCTAACAGGTCCAATTTGATCATTTGAATATTTGAACATCTTGTTTTCTAATTATCTAAAACTTCAAGGCTATCTAAAATTAATGCACTAATATATAATTTCAAGATGTTAAAATTCATTTGGTCCGCCGCATGTGGGATAAAACAAAAGAAATTTATCATTTATCCGTGAACCTCGGGGCCAAGAAAGGCTATACTGCACAGGGACAGTAAATACAAGAGTTAACACACTACATTTTAGTGAAACTTTCCTTCACTAACAGTTGAAAGGTGATCTTGTTTAAACAATTGTCAGAAGGCATTGACACAACCAACAGAAACCGAAAATAAGTAACTAAAAAAGCAACAGAATACAGCTTACTATGAATTAAGAGGCTTGTAATTAGTGAAACCTTACTATCGACTGGACTAATGGCCCCACCTTGCTGCGACAAAGATCTCGGATCTCATAACAGTGAAAACATCACTGAAAAACTGACTTCGCTTACTTTCAAACTTTTTCCTCAATAATCCAGCTCGTGTATTCTATTATGACGTGGGGAATTAATCTAGCGCTAAAGACTAACGATAGAAGACCATGAGTGTCTCAGCTCAGAAAGTCACTGAAAAATTCATAGTGCGAAAAATTTATCAGTCATCCAGGTTTAATAATAAAAATTCTTTTTCAGAAAATAAATTTTTTTTCCATATTTCAGCTGTACGTGTACGCAAGGGCGCATGTGCGTATGTGGACACACGCCCGCCCCATGAGAACAACAACTCTGCACTAGTATAATCGCACCTTTAAGAATAATTCTTACCGTTCCTTCACACATTTTCAATTAAATTACTTGCTTTATCTTTTTAACGAAGTCGTCAGAGCCAAATTTTTGTTTCTATTTTTTCGTGACAAAGGAAACCAATTTTTTCGAGTAATCAAGCCCCTCGTCCAAGTGCACTGTACACTGATGTAGAATCATAAAACTTTGAAACCTCAAATTGGTAATCTACACTCACCAGAGGAGGCCATGAAAGCAAAGAACACAATCGCAAAAAAGACTTGCATCGTCATCCGTTGTAACCGCTCTCGAGCTCAAGAGAAAGATGTTCGCAAGAAGCTTGAATAAAAATTTAATTTCAACAACAAAATGGGGCGCACCTTAAAACCTGATGACACAATTGAATTTGCATACGGAACAATAAAGCTTATTTAAGGGTTTTATTTAGCCAATGAGAAAACCATTTTGGTTTTCAAAAGTTTGCTCCCTTTCATCATCATCATCAAAATGATGGTGGCGAAATACATCTGTATAGTTTATTTTTGTACGCTTTACTTTCACCTGTTTCCTATATAGGTAGAAGTGACCGGGAGGAGGGCTTCTTAACAACATCCTTTTATATGTCATTTTAGAAGGTAAAGAAACCCCTTTCATGCCTTCTATTGGCAAATGGTACCCCTTTCACATACCTAGTTCAAACATCCACCTGGTAAGGCGCAAAACATCTGAAGATAGAGGGTGTGTGTCAATTTTTTGATCTTTAATTTTTTTTTTTTAATTTACATGAAATTTAATGTATTGAAATGTTTATAGGTCAATCTTTCGATCTTTTTCTAAGTATTGCAAAACAAAAAAATCTGATATCTAACGACCACGTATCTTCCCTCCTAAATATTTGAAAATGAAATGAATTTTATCAAA